TTCTGTAATTCCTTCAAGAAATCTAGAACTAAAATCTAACCATGAGGAAACATCAGACAAACTCAAACTGAGGGGCATTTCAAATAAGTAAGCTTTTTAAAAAATCAGTAATGTGAAAGTCATGAAAAACAAAGGACCAAGGAACTGTCCAGAATGAAGGAAGTAGAGAAAACAGTGAAATGCAACAAATGATTTGGAATTTTCTTTTGCTCGAACAATTATGATAGACACAACTGGTGAAGTCTGAATAAGGTTTGTAGATTAGATAAGCATTGTTTATTTCTGTTTATTTTTGACAATTATACTGGGGTTATGTAAAGACTGCTCTTTTTCTTAAAGCAGATATAAACTGAAGTGTTGAAACAAAAAGGGACATCATGTCTGCAGTTTACTTTCAAAAGTTTCAAACAGAGATAAGGATAAAACAAATGTGATAAAATGTTGACACTGGGGGAATCTGGGCAAACGATATAAAGGACATCTCTGTACTATTCTTGCAGCCTTCCTGCAAGTCCAACAGTAAATATATGTGTTACGTATGCTTATAAATTTACATATGTATATATAAACGTATAAAGTTTTTACATATGTATAAACTAAAACAACTCTTTTTAAAAAAATGTAGATTCCTGAGCCCCAGCTCTGAAATTCTGGGTTCAGTAGTTCTAGTGGTGAATCTTGGGAATCTGTATTTTTAAAGTTTTTCTAGTGATTATGATGCTTAATCTGGTTTAAGAATCATCCCCTGCCAGAGAGTATAAAAATTTTGCCACTGAAGAGGTAAAAAAGAATACCCATTTATCTACCATCCAGTTTTCAAAACAAAAACAAAACCCAGTTACAATGGAAATTCCATGTATACCTGGCTATCTACTCATTTTTTTCCCCTTCTTAGAGATAATCATCCCAATTGAAGTTTGTCATTCCCAGGCATGTTTTCATACATTTATGCCATATAAGTATGCTCATATCAGCAATAGAATCGTGTTGCGTGTTTTCAAACTTTGTAAGTGGTTCATAATAAACACTTCTTCCTACAATGTAACTTTTCATTCAGCAAGATATATTTTGGTATTTAACACTGATACAGGTAGCCTATTACATTGATTTCATCCAGAAGAGGGGAAAACTAAGGATTCCAGAAAAAATGAATAACATGCACATTCTTTGACCTGATGTATTCAATTTATGACTATATAACAATTTTAAAAATCTATTTTCTTGATGATGGATCTGGGTTCCATTTTCACTAAACCTCATGCAAAAATGAACCTTGTATATGTTTGTGCACATGTAGAATTTCTTTAAAAGGAGAAATTGATAGGTCAAAGGGGGTGCATGTGTATTCATTTTCTCTGAAGTCATCCGTTTCCCCCCCCTTTTTTGGATCATGCATGGTCATCCATACCAATAGGAGAGAAGTCAGTGTCTAGGGGCACAAATGCAGGTATGTGGGCTGACAATTTGTTGAAGTGTTCTCATTGCTTCTATTTTCTTGGTGAAACAGAGAGCAAGGTTATCAGTTGAGACCTATGGTGGATGAAGAATTGGAAGGTAGAGGGTGTGAAGAGAGGTAAGTAAAGGCTATCTAGGAGAATGGGAGAGATTGCTAAGGAGTGCGAAGGGCCTAGATATTCAGTCCTACTACTGACAAATTGTTCTTCAGAGGAATTATACCAATGTACACTCTTGCCAGTGGGAGATGGCATTTTCTGATGCTCTACATCTTCACCAATCCCTATATTCAGAATTTCATAATTTTTGCCAAGTTAATATTTGTGAATAGTTTTAATTTTGTCAATTTCTCATAAGCTGAGCTTATTGTCCATTTGTGTTTCATCTTCTATGAATGTGTTCATTCATGTTCTTTCCCATTTTTCTAACAGTTGTCTTTTCCTGACTAATTTGTAGGTTCTCTTTATGCAGTTTGGATAATCTATCAGTGTTTACATTATGACTATACAAATATTTTCACTTTTGAGCCCATGACCATTGCTCTTTTCTTCTATGACCATGTGTTTTTCCTAGAGTTAATGATTTCTTTTTCCATCTGCCTGGTTTTCCATATACCTATGATTTTTTTCCTCCAAATGCACCAACATGCTTGGCGTCCTATTAGAAATAATTACTAGCGCGTTCAAACAGAAGTTCCATCGTTTTGTTCCTTGACATCCCCTCTTTCTTAGCCATCTAACCTCTTGTTCCAATCCATGCTGGTTGCTCTCAGGAAAGCTGCACTGGTGTTATTCTGGATCTTCTATTCATCATCTCCTGGGTTGGAGTCCAGATTTCCTGAATCTCATATCATCCTCTTCCACGGTTTTGCTGGCACAATATTCTCTAGTAGCTTCCCCCAAAATGAGGATATATCTGAATCCTTCAATGTCTTTTTCCACCCAAGTATTTCTATGCCCAATGCGGGGGGGGGGGTTCAAATTCAAGATCCTGAGATCAACAGCTGCATGCTCTTCCAACTGCGCCAGCCAGGTGCCCCTGCTCTGGATCTTTTTGCTGTGCCTTCAATAAATCCTTTCAATCTGAAGAATCATGTCGTTAATTCTGGAAATTGTTTTGTGTTGTTGTTTTGGTGGGGGGAAGGCATTATTTCCCACCCTTTTTTCTCAAATTTGTTTCTGAGTCCACATTTGAATCTGATTTTAGGTGTGGAGCAGATGTTTTATTATGTCTCTGTTTTTACATTTGTTATTCCTTTTGCCTAGCATGCAGACCCCTTTTCCTGTCCTAGCAAATCCCTGCTTATCTTTCAAAACAATTTCTGGTATCAGTCTTTCCATGATGATCCCCTCCCTGACCCTACACTGAATGAGATGGTCTTTCCTCTATGCTCACAAAATCTATTATAGCATCTCTAACCCCATACTATAGAGTGTTTATATATCTGCCTTCCCCACTGATCCTAAATGCTTTGATAGCAGGACAATGTTTATCCATTTCTACATCCTCAGTACCTAACGGTGTATAATGGCATGAACAAATGAATGGATTCAATGAGGTGAGAAAAGCGAACATTTCCTCCTGCTACATGGCAAGCACTGTGCAAGCCAGGTACCATTTCTTATGTCTTCATTTAATCCTTTGAGCAAATCTTGAAGGAATGTATAAGCTTATACAACAAATATTACCTGAGTTCCTACTATGTGCGAGGTTTGATACTGGCCAAAGGATGGAAAAAAAAAAAACTCAGTTCTCTAGAAATTTACCATTTAGTAGAGAAGACTTATTTTTCCTTATGTAGTTTTTAAAAATTGACATTTAATTCACATACCAAAATTCACGTTTAAAATGAACACTTCAGGGGTGCCCAGGTGGCTCAGTCAGTTAAGTGTCCGACTTCAGCTCAGCTCATGATCTCGTGGGTTCGAGCCCCACGTTGGGCTCTGTGCGGACAGCCAGCTCGGAGCCCGGAGACTGTTTCAGATTCTGTGTCTCCCTCTCTCTCTGACCCTCCCTTGCTCACGCTGTCTCTCTCTCTAATAAATACATTAAAAATTTTTTTAAAAATAAAATGAACACTTCAATGGTTTTTAGTATATTCACAAAGTCATGCAACTATCACTACTAGACAAGATATTTCTTATCTGTATGAAGTGCTGTTGTATTCTGGGGTCAAGTAAAAGGAGGGGGCAGTTTACCAGGGGAACAAACACATTCCAGGGAAAGGAGAAGTTGAGTATGTGCAAAAAAGTAGAGCTGAGACAGTCCAGTATTTGAAAAAAATATGAAAAATACAGAGGAGCTGGAGTTTATGTTGATGTAATAGGTTTGACTATTTTACAAATGAGGAACCTGAAACTCAAAGAGGCGAATTAACTCAACTAAGGTCAAACAATTTTTCTTCTAATTCAAGAAAAGCTGGTAAAGGACGTCACCCTACCACTACATCATTCCCAATGAGCAAACAGGTGCTGACACCACCAAATACTGAATTGGCTCCAGACTTCTAGCAAATAGGCTTCATTTTCTCACCCAACTCCTTGCATTATCTAGCACCATTGGCCATTCAGACCACCACCATTAGTTGGGCAAAAACATTTCCACTGTGGTTTTGTAGATTAAGATTAAAGTGACCACAGTGATGCTATCAGTAGATGCTCTGTCCATAGACAGATATATTTTGGTCATGAAAGTCCAAGGCGCACCTGGCTGGCTCAGCAGGTGGAACATATGACTCCTGATCTTAGAGTTGTGAGTTTGAACTCCATGTTGGGTGATTAGATCACTAAAAAAACTTTTTTCAAAAAAAAAAAAAAGTCCAAACGAAGGCTTAATAGGAAAAAGTTCTTCTACTTTCCTGGACCTCAGTTTTCCTATCTGCAAAGTGATATTAGGAAATCTTGTCCCATCTACCCCACTGCAATCCTGCCCAAAGCAATCACTGAGAAATCATGAGGATCTGTACTGCCTTCAACATTTTTAAAAATTTTTTAATGTTTTATTTATTTCTGAGACAGAGAGAGAGAGAGAGCATGAGAGGGGAGGGTCAGAGAGAGAGGGAGATCAGAATGTGAAACGGGCTCCAGGCTCTGAGCTAGCTGCCAGCACAGAGTCTGACGCGGGGCTTGAACCCACTAACCGCGAGACCATGACCTGAGCCGAAATCTGACGCTTAACCGACTGAGCCACCAAGGTACCCCTGCTTTCAACATTCTTGAGGAAAACCTTAATATGCTTAAAAGTATTATACCTAATATAAAAATGTCCCCAAATTTCTGACTTCAGTTAAACATTCATAAAATCTTGGCTTATGAGGCTTAAATTCAGTCTAGATTCATCTCCATTTCAACTCTCTGGGAGGGGAGGAGTTAGGGGAACTCTGGAGAAAACAGGCAGAAAACAAAGTTCTGTCACACAGGGGCAATGACTTCGGATTTCTGGTTTTGCATGTGGAGGCTGTCCCATTCTCTACCGTATGAAGAGCAACATTTGGCATTCTACGATATGAAACTGTGGGTGCCACAAATCAGAGGTATGGTGGGAACATGTCGTCCTTACAAACCGCTCACACATCAGAAGACACAAAGTACAACAGTGAGCAGTTACTTCTCAGAAACAGTTTTCAAAGTGACCAGGTGAAACATGCTAAGAGTTCATCAGAAGCCACCTTGGCTAAGAATCTTTAGATGCTTGCTGCCCACTAGAGAGAGAATCCATGCTAGAACGTTTGTGGTTGTTGCGGTAGGACCAAGGAATTGATATGCCTGAAAATATTCCACAACAAAAAAGCTTTACTAACCTTTCAGAGAAGAGCAAGACCAAGTACCCTTCCACTCTTGTCTTTTAGAAGGTACAAATTTGAATAACTGGAAATAAATACCAATTAGGGGCATCTGTGTAAATGATCTGAAGGTCATTACCTCTTGGTCTGCATAGGTTTATATACACAGTTTTCATTTATGATTTTCCAGTACATTTTGGTAGGAAAGCTACCTAAGCTATACCTAGCTTATCTCACTTCGGGAGCAGTAAAATCTAATCCTTTTTTAAGAGAGGAAATTTGTGAACATTTGAGAGCAAAACCAGAATTCAAATAACTGCAATGTCTAGGTAAAAAGGTATACATTCTTTCTCCTCTGGATAACTAATTACTTGAGGAGATCTCCCTCTCCAAAAGAAAGTGTTTTGAAGCTCCGAAGTATTAAATGTGTGACCACTGTGTCTCAACACACTACTCAATTATTCTTCATAGAGACTTCAAAATAGCCCTGCAAGGTTTTCTTTCTTTCCTTTCTTTCAACTGACGAAGAAACAGGCTCACAGATGCTGGAACATTCTAAGCCACACAGCTGGGGGCAGAAAGGAGGACGGGCTGAGTCCTAAGCCTTTAGGCCTTCCACCTGCCAGTCCCACCAAACAAGAATCACCTGGGAGTAAAGAAAATACAAACTCCAGGCTTATGGTCAGTCTTCAAAGGGAGGGACCTGGAAACATGCATTTTTTTTTTTTTTTAAACTGAAAAAGGTGCTCCCTCCTACCCCTCGATCAATGGAAACCTTAGGAAAGACAGTACATCACGACCCAGCCAGGAGATATGAAGCTGTTCCCCAACAGACCCCCAACGTCCCCAAAAACTCTTATTTCTCTGGTCAAACCATCACCCCCACAAAAGCCCCCAGAAGTGCAGATCTTGGAATCACCTTCTGCGCTTTCTTCACTATTGAATCCTGCCAATTTTTTCCTTCCCTGTAGAATTTTATTTCCTGGCTGGGACCAGGCTCTAACCACCAGACTTCCAGCCAGGCCCAGGAACTCCCAACCGCCTCCAGCCCTTCTGGCTCTTTCCCTAGCCCCTCGGCTCGAGCTGCTATCATCGCAACCCTGCCTCTTCCGTCGGTCACGTTGTTTCCTCCGCTTGGAAGGACCTCTTTCCTCTCCGGGCCCTTCCCAGTAGTTGGGGAACTCCTACACAGCCCTAGCGCCTCCGCTCCCAGCCACCCTCGCCTCCCACCACCCCTGCTCTGGGACCGAACCCGGCCTCGAAGGCCAGCAGCGAGCGTCCGTCCCCCTGGCCGCAGCCCCTGCCCCCTCCCCGCGGGCCTCCCCACCCGCCACCTGGCTCCGCAGCGGCCGTTCGGGAAGCCCTCGGCACTTCCCAGAATAGAGAGCAGCTGCCAACGTCAGGCTGCCGCCCGCCGCGGGGTTCCGGGCGCACGGGGTGCGGGCGTTGGGGACGGGACGCCACCCTGGCCTTCCGTCTCCCCCCTCAACGCGCCGGGAAACTGAGGCCCAGGGCTGGCGGCAACTTCCCCAGGGTGCACCGTCCGCGAGGGCCCGGCGAGTCCCGACCCCCGTCCGCGATCCCTCGACCACACGCGCCGCCCGGTCGCCCCGGAGAGCCGGGCGAGGAGCGGGTCTCCGAGCGCAGCGCTCCGCCCGGGACCGCGCAGGGCGCCAGACGCGGCCAACTCGCCGCGAAAGTTGTTGTCTCCCAGCCTGCCCTCGCCTCTCACCTCCGAGACACACCTTCCCGCGGGCCCTGGCAGCCGCACGCTCACATCCGGTCCACCTTGCGCACACCCCTCTCCACGCTCTCCCACGGCCCTTTTCCCTCCCACGCCTGCGGCGGGCGGCCGCTCCCCCGCGCCCCCTCGTGCACTCCCACCCGCGGCCGGGGCGCGCCTTCCCCGCCCCGCCGCACGCCTGGCCTCCGCGCCGCGCCCGCCCGGGCTTCTGGCTCCCGGGAGCCCCAGCCCCGGGCCGCGACCCGCTTCCGCCCGCCCGGCGGGTCGGGGCCGGGGTAGCCGCGCGGGGGGCGAGGGGCTCGGCTGCGCGGGGCGGGGAGGGGGCGCTCGCTCGCTCACTCTCGGCGGCGCACACGCCCGTACAAACTCTCACACAGACACACGCGGGGTGCGCTGCCGCCGCCCGCCGCTGCTCCTCCTCCCGCCACCGCCTTGAGAGGGAGAGAGAGAGAGGGAGGCAGAGAGAGCGCTTTGTCCGCGCGCCGCCGCCCGGCCCGGGACTCTGCCCCGAGGAGGCAGCCGCGCCGAGTCCCCGCCTCCGCCTCTGCCCCCGGGCGGGCCGGGCCGGCCGCGGTGGGGGGAGCCAGGCTGAGGGTGGGGGTGGGTGGCGGGCGGGCGGAGGGCGGGGAGGGGGGGCGGAGGAGGAGGAGGAGGAGGAGAGACGAGGGCAGCGGAGGAGGCGAGGAGCGCCGGGTACCGGGCCGGGGGAGCCGCGGGCTCTCGGGGAAGAGACGGATGATGAACAAGCTTTACATCGGGAACCTGAGCCCCGCCGTCACCGCCGACGACCTCCGGCAGCTCTTCGGGGACAGGAAGCTGCCCCTGGCGGGACAGGTCCTGCTCAAGTCCGGCTACGCCTTCGTGGACTACCCCGACCAGAACTGGGCCATCCGCGCCATCGAGACCCTCTCGGGTGAGCAGTCGCCGCTGCCCCCTCCCCCCGCCTCGCCCAGCTCAGGCCGGGACGGCGCCCGGAGGGAGGCCGAGCCCTGCGGGCGGCGCCCGGCGGGGGCTCCCGCGCCCGCACACTCACTTCCACGCACCAGACCCTCAACTCTCGTCGCCGGCCCGTTCCCAGGACGGCCCGCTCCCCTCCCCCCCCCACCCATCCGGACTCCCCCCTGGCCCTCCCAGCCGCAGCCCTGGGGCGACCCCCGTGCCGCTCCGAGGGTGCCTGGGGCTCGCTCGCTCTCTGCGGGCACCCTTCCTTCCCTATGCTCCCCGCGCCGCTCTCGAGAGTTTCCCCACCCCCATCCTCAGAGAGCCCCCGTCCCCTGTCTTCCCTGACCTTCGCGTCACCCCCTTTGTCAGGGACCCCCTTCGAACCCCGCATCTCCTCCTCTCTCGAGCGGACCTTACCCCTTTCCGTGCCTCGTGCCCGGGACCTCTCGCCCTCTGGCGTCCCCAGAGCCGCACTCTCCTTTGGAGCCCCCTCCCCACCTCGCCTCGCGGTCCCCCACTTTCGGCACCCCCTCGGCGCCACCCTGATGAGCCCCCTGCAAGGCTTCGGGGCTCCCCCAACCCCAACCCGTGCACGACGGCACATCTCTTTCGGTCCTCTCCCGAACCTCAGTCCCCTCTCGCTCGTCTCTCAAGCGCTCCTATTTTTCTCTGAATTTTTTGTCCGATTTTATTGAGAAGAACTCGGGGCTGGGGGCTTTCCGCCGCCTGTCCCCCCGCCTCCCGCTCGGCCAGAAGCACCTTTTTACGAGGTGCCCTGTCTCAACTCGGTGGGGGCCCGGGCTGAGAACCGGGAAAGAGGCGACCGGGGGGCCCGCGAGAGCGCCGGAGCCCAGACGGGAGACGGAGAGCGACACACACACACACACACACACACACACACACACACACACACACTCGCGCGCGCGCGCACTCACCAACTCTCCCTCTCGCACACGCACCGCTCGGAGCCGCGCTCGCCCCCGGCCCGGGAGCCCGACCCCCCGAGCCCCGGCCCGGCGGGAGACCCTCACCCCAGGGTGCGCGGGGTGGGGGCGGGGCGGCGGCGAGGCCAAGGTGACACCCAGGAGCTGGCCGGGACTGGGCTCTCGCAGCAGCGGCCTCGGGGGGTGGGGGTGGGCCGGGGGGGCTTCGGTGCGTCTTCTCGGGGCCACTGGCTTGAGAGGTCGGGGAGGGGAGCGCAGCGGAGCCTTCGGGGCCCGGGTTAGCGGAATGGAGAGGTGGGGGCCGGGAGAGGAGCGGGGCCGCGCCAGCCCTGCAGCTTGAGTTTCAAATGAGCTCATCCTTTCAAATTGGCGCCGCTCTTTATTAAATTTGTTTTTCCGGTAATGCCACCCACAGCTATACCTGGGGTCGGATCCGGGCTCGCGCCCTTCCCACCTCGTCCCGAGACACGGGGCGCCCACCTTGCTTCCCATTGGGAACCAAGTTTGCCCCGCTCGAGCTCGGTAGGAGACCCCTTGAGGGCGCCCGAAGGCGGAGCCCGAGCGTGGAGTTCTGTGCGTGCCCCTCCTAGACCCCCGCAGGTTCGATCTAAGCAAGGTTCTGAGTGCTTTAATTTCTGTTTTAAAGGTAAAGTGGAATTGCATGGGAAAATCATGGAAGTTGATTACTCAGTCTCTAAAAAGCTCAGGTAAATATATTTTGCTTAGTTATTTTGTGATAGATAGGGCTTACGTATAAATACCACAATACACTCAGTTTTTTAAAATGTGCTTTTTTTATAGTTTTAAGAAAAGGCTTTTGTTTGTTTTGTTGGTGGAGATCACGTAGTTTAGAAAGTTAGATTTTTTACTTTCATTATATAAGGTGTTTACTGTACTTGGAAAATATCTGGTGATTTATTGGGGGGGTGGGCGGTGGCGAACCCTAGCTGTGTGAAATTCGCTGGGACCGTTAAACTTGTTTATCAAAACTTGCCTCCCACCCCTCACTCCCACCCCTACCCCCAGCACAGTGGCTACCAATGCTTGTCAAGACTTCCTGTGAGATGTTAAAAGTAAATATTTACTTTGTCAGCTAAATTGCTTAACTAAACTTCGCGATTAATTAGTTTTATTTTTTAGATAGCTTAACGTTGAATAATAAAATAATTCAGCAAGAGGTCAATATTTTGCAAAGCACTGTAAAGAAGTAGGTTGTTTGGAATGGGTGGCAGTTAAAAAGCCAGACTTTTTCAGTCACTGAGACTACTGAATATTGCTTCTGAGCATTTTGTTATTTTTGCTTTTAAGATATGTTTGAAGCTAAACAAGTATCTTTGTGAATTCTGTAGTTATATGTAAGGGCACTGTTGTTGATGAAGGAGTAAAGAATTTTGTGGAAGTTGGATTTCTCCACAGTGATTTGCCTGCAAGAGAAATATCTCTATGAGGAGAGAATGAGGGAGAACATCTTTGTTTAAAGTTTACTGTGGACTTTAAATTGGAACCCTTAATTACTCATGCTAGGTTTTTTTTTACCCATGTGTTGTAACTTAGTTTATATCCCATTCACATACATTTCTTCACCATTAGTCATTAAGTAGCTGCATTGAAAACTCTAAGTCTTTGATTTACCACCTTTACAATTTCTGATACTCAGTAGCGTAACCACTTACTTGATTTTTGCCAGGATTGAATAGATTTTAAAACAAACCATACTAATTTTATAAATACTTAGGTGTTTTGTCGAAGAGGTTTTAAAAAATTGTGGGCACATTTTCAGATACTTTTATTTTAACTAAGCAACAGAATATCTTGTTTGCAAATGATTCTGTGGCATATCAGAAAGCTATGCCTTTAAAAAAAAAAAGGCAAAAGTTATGATTTGCAGTTTCATGTGTAATATAAAGCTAGTTCTCTCTAGGAACAGATGTAATGTGTAACTGATTGGTTTTTCAGCTAAGTATCCTAAATTTGTATACTTTTTTCTATATATAATTTTTTTTTTTTGCCTGAGAAATCCAAGTTGAAGCTTTTCTTGATGTATCAAGTATTAAGAAGTTTAAATCACTCATCTTACAACACTTGAAAACTTGGTGAATATATTGAACAAGGTTTGAAAGAACCACCTAAAACATTTGAAGGGCTGTTATTCTATAAATGCCTTATTCTGTTGGCTGTATGGCTGTTGTGAGTCCTTTTTTGGGTTATAATTAATTTTAAAAAATCACTAGAATTTTAACTTTGGTGAGTTGGTGTCTCATTTCATGTTGCGAAGTACATGATCTCATGTTGCAGTGTAAGTGAAATACTAATTTAAAGTTACTAACATCTCCTAAGACTTCTCACAAGTATACTTCTTCTAAACTTTTTCTTTCAAAATGCAGAGGTTAGTTGCTGTTAGCCAGAGTGTCACTTAAGCAATTTTGTTGTGTTTATGTAAGAGTTCAGAATTAAAAGCATGTCCCCAATTTCTAGTATTAATTAAATAAAGAACAAACTAGGATTTATACAGCCCTACTAGTATGAGATTTCTTTGAACATGTGGGCGATATAAAATACCTAGGAGGTAGATTAAAATGCGCTGTGTATGATTCACTACACTGAAGACGTCTGACATACCAAATGTATGCATAAGCTGCTGTTTTAGAGGGTTGCATCATTTCTGATTGGATGGTTTTACTCTTTTTTTCCCTTTCCTTTATTGGTTTAAAATGCAGGAATTAGTTCCTTGTTCTGCAGGCTAAGGGAGAGATGGCTAATGACTGGTGTTGTGTACTGAGCTCAGACCCCTGGGATGAAGCAGCTGTATGTTCTCATGTACAGGGCACTACCACGGTGCTGGCTTTCAAAAAGCAGGGTACTGTGACATTTGAAACCAAAGCTTTTATGTTATATGGTGACTATTTTGGTGTTCTTTTGTTTCATTTCCATGAAATTTAACAAGTTAGAAGTAAATTTGTCAGCGTTAAGTCAGTTCTATATGTGGTTTTTGTGTTAGTTGAAGTGAAAATGTGAAGAAAACAATTCATCCTCATTGCTTGCTTGCTTAGCAAATCATTCAGCAATTGAGTACTCATTTTCTTTATATTGTTCTGATTTCTTTCTGTTCTCAAGAATGAGTTTTAATGTTTACATTCCAAATAGACTTTTTAAAGCTAAAGATACTCTGAGAGGAGATGTTTTGATCTTAAGTTATGAAATTATTGGCATGCCATTTGCTTACCAATTGGGTCTTTTGTTATATGTCATTCTAGCATCATTTTATATGTGCTATTACAGTAGACAGACTAGGTAACCATTATTTTCTGAGGGTCATCAGAATTAAAAATCCCTTTTTTTCTTTTTGCCACATATGTTTCATTCTTATTAGATACAAATTATTGTAATGTAAACCATAGACAAACCATCTATTTTTCTTTCTAAGTTGCTTTCAGCCTCTGCTGAACAAAACTCTTTGGATCTTTTTTCTCTATTCATCTTTCTTGGTAGTATATGTGAATCAAAGATTGCTTAAAGAGGAAGAAACTGGAAATGGTTTTAAAAATCTGTTAAAAGTTGTGGGAAATGCCTCGACAGAAATTTCATTGTTGATGTTGAGGAGATTTTAATTAAAAAATATATATGTATCTGTATATCTACACACTTGCACATGCATACACACATACATGTGCACTCACATCACATGAATTGTTTGGAGCTAAGACATACACTAACCTGAATGTGTTTTGTAACTAAAGTTGAATGATTCTGTGAGAAACAAAACTTTGAAAAATGCGATTTCTGCCCACTCCTAGGAAGTAACCAAGTGGTGTAGACATGCTTTCACTGAGATGGTGTGAATACTATGAGGTAGTGTAGGAAAAAGCTATGAATTTGTCTTTCATGAGTTAAAAATCAGTAATTGTGTTGTTTCCAATGCAAATGAATTCAGTCTCCTATAGGAATGTTAAAGAAAACAGTATCTCAATTGTATTTTCCTTGTATGTACTACATTGTGTATAGTTGAATTAAATACCAAAAAAGAAAAAAAAAAACAAAAACACCCAACCTCAAGCCCTCCCTGCAACAAAGGCTTTTGCTGCATCAATTTTTAATTTTTGTAACAACAGAAATGACTTTTTTTAGGTTAAAATTATATGGTAGCCTTCTATTTAAAGAATTTTTGAATTAAAAATTAATGCCTGGATTTAGTTATATAGATTCCATGTGTGAAAATAATGTATATTTATATAAAATACACATCAAACTGTAAGATCACTTTAATTTGGCTTGGAACTGGACATTACGTTTCCCATTTTAAAAAAGGCTAATAATTTTTCATGTGGTTCTAGGCAGTGCCGTAAAGAATTACACATTTTTGTGACCTTTAGGAGATAAATGTTAGAATTGAAATAGAAGCAGTGAACAAAACTTCAGTTGATAATTCAGGTGATAGTGTAGTTTTAAAATTCAAGCTTACAAATGTTAAAAGACTGGTCATTTGATGTTTTTACATTATTTAGTTAAATATTAAAAACCACTGAAATCTACAAATCAAAATAGTTTTTTGTACTGCTTGATTTTCCAATTTGTCAAATTCATCTCCATCTTAAATTTGTGTTGTAGCAATTTATAAAAGCTTTAAATGGCTACACAAACATTAACTCTAAAAGGTGATTTGGTGATATGTGATGCATTTGTCAAATTGTGTTTTTTAAAATAATGTTTCCTTGTAATTATGGCTAGATATAGGATGACCAGTAAGGGATGGTCTCAGAGTTTTGTTTTTTATTATTTTAACCTGAGAATACATAAAGATGAGAGAAGATTAGTAATATTTGTACAACACCTTTATACATAATGATGTAATGTATTTTCTTTAAGAAGAATTTTTTTAAAGGACATTCGATGGTTTATAACTAATTGCATATCAAAATTAACATTTCACTATTTTGAGGAGATGTTTTTATTTTATGGAGGTTGCTCCAGTTTTTCAACTGGGGGGGGCTGTAAATGATGTAGAAATGTGCATAAAAGGATAGTAACTTGGGCACGTTTATTAAAAGTTAAAGCTATGAAAATCAGATTTCTACAGGAACTGTTTACACATATTTGATACTTCTCAACTTTCTAAATATTTGCTGTCTATTGCTGAATCACCCTTCCAAGTCTTCTAATGAAATTCTCAAAAGTAGATGAGCAATTGGTCAGAGCTGTGAGAGGATATTATTTGAGCTAAGTGTGTCATCCTCTGTGATTCAGTGGGGTGTGTGCACATGGGTTTCTGTGTGCATGTGTGCTTTGTGGGGGACAGTAGTTTCAGACAGATGGTATCAGGAGGGAAGAGGAGGAAATCTTTAATTGAGCAACGATTACTGTGGATTTCAGCCTTGACAAGGCAAATGAAAATTGCTAGGTGTCTGAACTTTGTGACAAAGGGAATCAGTATTTGCTTTGAGTGATGCATGACTCTTCTTAGCGCTTAACCTTGTGGAAGCCAGGTATCAGGTACTCCAAGTGGCTTCTTCAGTGAGCTTGCTGGGAGGACGGACTATCCAACGCACAGTCTGCTCTCCTTTCTCTTGCTTGGATATCCCTTCTCACTAATAAAGTTATCTCAGTGACTCTGTGAAGGCTCTGATGATCTATAAGCCATTTTTGTAAATGTCAGAAAATTCAAGATTTGAATATGCATTTTCGTTTAGAAATTCTATACTGCGGAAGATTA